AGGAGGCTCTTCAATCAATCTTCCTCGTCAACTTACTTCCCTTTTGCCATCTGGCTCCAAACTAGATCTAATTAACTGAAGCGACATGTCAAAGGCTAAACGTAGCTGCAGACATCTGCACTGACACTCCTGAGGATGAGGCGGGACAAAGGAAGCAGACAGAGAAGAATCCAGTGGCCTCAGGGACTGCTTCCCATGTACTGTCCTGCTTATGTCTCCACTGAGCTGTGACCCCCTTGTAAACTGGAAACGAAAGTCTGTCAGGCACAAAAGCAACACAAGGTAACAAAAGTGAGCTCTGAAGAGCACACAATAGATCGTTCTGACTCAAACTCTGGCCCAGAGAGACCGTGACTCAAATACACACGAGGCAGGTCAAACACCCTGGGGGCCAAGCGGCCGGCTATGGCAGCGGTTTTGGAACTGTGGACAGAAGCGCAATCCTAAGGGTTCCAGACTTAGAACAAGGAGTGTAGGGTCCTACAATGAACAATGGTCATGCTTCTGATACTCCCCTTATACACTTTATACACAGGATGTGATCCATGGAGACATTCACCCCCACAAAAAAAACCACCACCACCAACAACAAAACCAATTATATTTCGTTAGCAAACTCCTGGAAATGAGATGGGAGTAAAAAAGGGTGGGAGCTGGCAAGACACCGATCTGGCCCTAAAGTCACTAAGGAACAGAGCATGATGAAGTTCAGGTATCTCAAAGAAGTCGGTCATGGTGGCACACAGATGGGTACTTCACAGAGGATCAAAGTCAGCCTCAGAAGTCTGAAGCCAACCTAGACTATATAGACCTTGTCTCAAAACAAAACACACGAAGGGCATGGTGGTGCACATCTATAATCCCAGCACTTCGGAGGCAGAGGCAAGCGGACCTTTGTGAGTTCCAGGACAGCTAGGGCTGTTACACTGAGAAACCCTGTCTTGGAAAAAACAACAAACAAACAAACATCCATACAAACAAAATCCCTCAAGATTGTCAAATGTGGTGTAATCTTGGTAGCCTTCTCTACATACTGAGTTCAAGACCAGCCTGGACTACAGAGTGAGAGCCTATCTCAAACAAACTAACACAGGATATCACAAATGGGCCTGGGGACAAGTGAGAAAGCAGCTTCACCCTGAACATGGCTTCTACAGACAAAATGATCTAATTTGCACACCTAGTTCTAAAGAGAGATCAATGTTATTTCCATTTTAGCACTACAGAACTTCGAACCTCAAAGAATGAAATGTAGCTTTAACAAGCCAGCAAAAAAAAAAAAAAAAAAAGGAAAAGAAAAAGAAAAAGAAAAGAGCAACAACATTACTTTGTGGGTACATTCCCAAAAGAAAAACTACAAGCTGCTTACCTACACGGTCATATTCACAGCAGCGGCATTCACACTAGAAAAGAACTGAGAACCATCCAACTACCTTCAACACAGGAACAAACAAGACTGGGCACAGTCATACAGTGGAATATTACCCACCTATAAAAAGGAATGGAATTCTGACACATGCTTCAAAGGTGTAAGACATAAAAGGCCACATTATTATGATTCAGCCTCTGTGAGGCACTTATACAAGGAAACAGAGTACAGCACAACCCTCCAGCACTAGAGGAGGGGAACAGGAGTTCTTGTTTAATAAACAGAAAGTTTCTGTCTCAAAGAGTTTGGAAATGAAGCCAGACATAGTAATCTACTCCTGTAACCAAAGAATTTGGGAAACTAAGCTCCAAGCTTGCCTGGGCTATACATAGCAAGACCCCATCTCAAAATAAAAATCTGAGTGCTGGGGCAGGGTATAATGGCATATGTATGTAATCCCAACAAGGAAGCAGAGGTAGAAGGATGACGAGTTCAAGGCCACCCTTGTTATACAGTTAAACAAAGCAGAAAGGCTGATGTAGTAGGTAAGAGAGAACTTGCCTAGCATGTGAGATGCCCTGCGATTGTTGCCCAGGATTTAATCCACAGCATCACCAAAACCAAACCAACCCCAACACCACCATCCCCGCCTGCCACACACACACACACACACACACACACACACACACACACACACAAATGCACACAGGAACATACTACAACAACTATAGACCATGAAAGGATAAAAACAGGACCACTGCCGGGCGGTGGTGGCGCACGCCTTTAATCCCAGCACTCGGGAGGCAGAGCCAGGCGGATCTCTGTGAGTTCGAGGCCAGCCTGGGCTACCAAGTGAGTTCCAGGAAAGGCGCAAAGCTACACAGAGAAACCCTGTCTCGAAAAACCAAAAAAAAAAAAAAAAAAAACAGGACCACTTCAAACAATTTTTTCCTGGTTTTTCAGGCTTTCTCTGTGTAGCTCTGGCTGTCCTGAAACTGGCTCTGTAGACCAGGCTGGCCTTAAACTCGCAGAGATCCGCCTGCCTCTGCCTCCTGACTGCTGGGATTAAAGGCGCGCGCCACCAAACCCAGTGAGCATAAAATAAATCTTTTAAAAATTTCTTTTAGAAATAATAAGGTAACATTCAATTCAAGAATACCATTCAATATATGATAGGAAATATTCATTTTATTGCAAGAGCTCTTTAATTGTGTGTGGTCTGGGGCTGATTTTCTACAAAACAGCAGAAATGTCTTGAAGGAAATCATGTGGCTGACAAATCTGAAACATTCTGAGGTTTTCCAAGCCCAAGTCTGTCACATTTATCTGGTACTACCACTGTTACCCTTATCCCACCTCAAAAATCACTGTTGTGTCTGTCTGGAAAGTTCTGTATCTTAGAACCACCTAGATCACACCTTAATCTTAAGTATTACCTCTTCAGTAGTCTCCCATGGCTACCTTATAACTCTGTTATGTCATCATGTTTTCTTTGACATGCCACTTACACTGCATTTATTGCAGTTTAATCCTTAGAGTTTAGCCCAGTGCCTGAATTACAGGAAGCATTCAGTAAATGAGGAACAAACAGATGAACAGTCCCTCAATATGTCAGCACCATGGGTGTGAGCACAACACAGAATGGGACTCACGGCCAGGACATACACAGGCCTCACTCTGGTGTGCGTGGTACTGTTCAAGGGACAAATAAGAGGAAGTTCCAAGAGAGCCTAGAGGTGGGGAAGGAGCCTGTGACTGCCTCGGATATCTCGTTTTGACCGGTAAGTGGATGTGGAATAGACACTGGAGTGGGACACAGTTGGGACAGAGAAAGTGTGGAACCTCAGGGATGGGAGTCTGTTGTCTGTGACTAAGACACTTCAGCCGCCTGTGGTAAAGGCATTGCCTTAACCAGCTGGTGAAACAGACCATAACACAGAATCCCTCAGATAGTTCCCAAATGGAGTTCAGAGTATAGAAGTCCTGCTGCAAGACACCTGCTAGCCCAGAACAGCGTCCAGTTATACCCAACCCTGGTGATGAAGACGCAGGGGGACCAATTAATGGAGAAGAGAGGCAGTGGTCCAGGCCTGTAGCCACCAGCAGAAACAGGTGGATCTCTATGAGTTCAAGGCTAGTCTGGCCTACATAGTGAATTCCAGGACCTCCAGGGCTATGTAGAGAGACCTTGACTCAAAAATAAATAAATAAATAAACAAACAAACAAATAAATGAATGAGACACAGAGAGAGAATGGACTCCACACAGTTGTCCTTAACCTCCACATGAGCGCCATGGCATGCAACCGTCCCAAACAATAATAGATAAATAATATTTAAAAGAATTATTCTTTTCAAAAAAAGAAAAGAAAGGGGGGACAGGAGGGCCTGAGCCAATAGGGAAGAAACCTAACCCAGGCATTAGGAGAGGGAAGTGAAAAAAAAAAAAAAAGAAAAAGAAAGAAAGAAAGAGCCTCCTTGAGCAAAACTTGGAGCAAAGGCAGACAAGTGGCCCCTCAGAGCACTAAATGTCCCATCATCATGACAACACAAGGCCAGCGTCAGGGCAGGTCTCCCCAGGCCAACAGTCCCTCAACCAACTCAGTTCCCATGCTGGGCCAGTGGTTTCCTTGAAGTGAATCAGGCGGCCTTCTAGAGAGCTAGGTTGCTTGCAGCCAGGCAAAGCCTTCAAAGTAAACCCCAATCCTATAAGGGAAGTCCTGGGGAGCAAAGACACCAAAGAGAGCTAACTGTGGTATTGATGTCCTTGCCTCCACCTGCACCTCCCAAGTAAAGACCAGGAAGAAAGGCATGCTTAGGGGTCAGCTAGCTTTGCTCTGTCTCCCGAGTCTGGGGCAAGCCAATACTCACCTCTCTTCGGCACCCGTAATAATTAATCCTCCTTGCCTCAAGCCTCCGGTACTGGCACAGCCAGGCACCCAAAGAAGCCCAAACACTTTTCACAGGCTGGTCTACATTCCTCTCCTAACCACAATCCATGAGGCACAGCCTCCAGGCGAGGGCACTCGAAGCCTTAAGAGGCTCTAGCGTGTGCTTTACTGAACTCCAAAGCCCACACGAAGCATAGCCAAGTCCCTTCGCTGCCCTCATGTCAGAATGAAGACCGTCGGTCGACCTACCTGACCAACAGGTTGCAAGAACTACCTTCGCTGTTAGGTTTCACAAAAAAAAAAAAAAAAACCTCCGCGGGCCGCCTCGCTGGCGCCCCTTCTGCAGGCCCCTCACGACCCATTCCACTGCCCCGCAGGGCCAGCTCCGGGCCGCACAGACAGCAGCGCCGGCTCACCCGCCGTGCCCCGCCCCGCCGCGCCGCGCCGGGCCTCGCCCCGACGGCTCCTACGTTCCCACACAGAACCGACCCTCACCTACACCCGCCGGCCGTCTCACCTGGAGGCCGGCTAACCGCTTCCTGGACCCGGCCCGGCCGACCCTGGGTCCCGGCGCTGCTCCAGGCGCCACGGGGGGCGGGCCCCGCGCCCATCCTCGCCATGGCAACGCGATACTTCCGGCCCGAGGTGTCCGGAGCGGAAGCCGCGGTGCTGGGTGGGAGTCCTGGGCAGAGCCAGTCTACAAGGGCGGGACCTAAAGAGCGCCCTCAAGGGGCGGGGCTAGTCCCGGGAGATTGGTTGATACTATGGAAGGTTTTTCCGCGCTCTGTTCAGTGGCATGAATATACTGGCATCTCGGGTGGGGCAGGAAGGGCAGGAAGTGTTCAGGTGTTCCCGGAAGGGTGATCTCTATCCTGGTCTTTGAAAGACAGGTTGGAGTCTTTCCTTCAAAGCAGAAGCATCGTCGGTCAAAGGAGGGAACAGCGTATCCCAGAAGATGGGCAGCAGTTTGCATGATGGTTGGGCCCTAGGACACTATGGTCAGGGAGAAGCGGCCAGGATGTGGACCTTTGGATGTCGGACCAAGAAGCCAGGCTTTAGCCTGGAAGCAAGGAAGGACCAGTGGAAAGAGGAGACCTCAGACGTGTCTGCTGACAGGGCTGAGGCCAGCGGTATTTGCCTGGCGAGACACAGGAACTCTCAGCTAGAGCCCTGAGAACGGAAAGCAGAGGGGCAGGAGGTGATAGGATTCCAGGGGAAGGCAGATGAGAACTGAAAAAAAAAAAAAGTCTGGGATAAGAACGCAACTCAGCCAGGAGTAGGACAGTCAGGAGAAGGGAAGTCCCACTACATCCCCCCCCCCCTACACACACACACACACACAACACACACACACACACACTGTTCCCTCCTGCACTCATGACTGTGCCTTCCTTGGTACCAGCAAGGGTCCCGGTCCAGTCCTTTGATGGTATAATGAGAGGTTGCCCAGGAAAAGGTGAAATCTCAAAGTGGCTAGTGCTGATGTCGGTCTGGGACCACTGACTCTGGCACCAACCTCTGCTGTCAGTGCCAGGATTTAGACCCTCAGTGCAGACCTGCCCAGGGGGAACTTGGGTCACATTTAGAACATAGATGGTGACGGGGCTCAAGGGTAGAGCTACCGGTTAGATGGCCAAAGAAGAGGTAGGGCCCACATGGGCTCCTGTAGCATACTCCTGGAAAAATAACTTAAGTCTCTGTCGGTCCCTTGTTTATGGGGACATGCTGTATGCCTTTTTGATCCAGGAAGTTGTCCCTCACTCCATCTGCCCATCTGTCCGTCCTCCATCCCCAGTCAAGTCCTGGGCTGCAGACCCCCAACCTAAGGTATGACTTCTTTTGACTACTTTGTCTTGAATTCCTGGGAATCCCCCATCTCTCTTGGGGTAATTTGGCTGGGGAAGTCACTTCCCATCTGTTAAATGGGAGCTAGGGACCTGACCCAGACAGATAAGGTATCCTGGGGTAGACCTTTTTCAAGGGCTTTTCCTACCAGGCTATAGGGGGATGCCCAGGTACCCAAAGGCAGCCTGGGAATGGAGACTGACTTCAGGAGGTCACCAAAAGTCCCTACTGGAGTCTTTTCTGCCCTTCCCTCCAAGATTAACTGAAACCTGCTAATTGTGGAAGCCCTCACATGTTCCCCTCCCCCACAGCCTCTTCCTCTCACCCCTCCCCCTTCCATCAGAATGATAAAGAAAGGAGGGACTGGCCTGCCTGTCCCAGCATGGCTTCAGGCTGGGACCCAACCTCCACACACGGTCTGGTCTGTCTGCCCTGAGCCCCCCGTAAGGCCAGACTCCGGCCCAGGGCTGCCTCCCTTGCATGGAGCCTTGCGGCAACTCTCAGCTGAGACCTCCAATGGCAGAGTCTCCCCCCAAGAGGAGGAAGAAGAGATACCTGCGGCATGACAAGCCCCCCTACACCTACTTGGCCATGATCGCCTTGGTAATTCAGGCCTCGCCCTTCCGCAGGCTGAAACTGGCCCAGGTGAGAGGGTCCCTCATGATTGTGGGTCATACCTATCCCAGACCCGCTCCCCACTAACTGTAGGCCCAGGCTCGCTCGGCCTCACCTAGTCCACTCCTCCTTGCCTGTGAGACCAGTCCTGAGAGCCCAGGGACTTTTCAAGACCCTTCTTCCACAACCCCTACCCACTCTGCCCTCAGGCACAGAGGTCTGTCTCTCTGCAAAGGGGTGCCCTGGGGCCAGCTGTAGGGGAGGGAGAGGGCACTGCTCTTATCCCTGCCTCACTGTGGCAAACGCTGCCTGGTTTCAGATCATCCGTCAGGTCCAGGCAGTGTTCCCCTTCTTCAGGGACGACTATGAAGGCTGGAAGGACTCCATCCGCCACAACCTTTCTTCCAACCCGTGCTTCCGTAAGGTAGGGTCGTCTATGGTCAAACTCTGGGGACGGTATGGGCGAGGGAGGAAACGCTGAACCTCTGAATGGGACAGCCACACCCAAACCAATCACTCTCTAGGTGCCCAGGGACCCTGCAAAGCCCCAGGCCAAGGGCAACTTCTGGGCCGTGGATGTGAGCCTGATCCCAGCAGAGGCGCTGCGTCTTCAGAACACTGCTCTGTGCCGGCGATGGCAGACCCGGGGCAAACACAGAACTTTCGTCAAGGACCTGAGCCCCTACGTCCTCCACGGCCAGCCTTATCAGCCACTCAGTCCCCCACCACCATCCAGGGAAGGTTTCAGCATCAAGTCCCTGTTAGGGGACCCTGGGAAAAGATCAACATGGTCCCAGCAGCCTGAACTAGCTGGACAGAGCAGCCTAGCTCAGGCAGGCACCTGGTCCAAGGGGGGAGAAGGGATGTGCACTGTACCCCCTAACTCCTCTGAGAAGTCTCTGTGGCCCCTCTGCTCCCTTCCTGGGCCCACAAGAATAGAGGGTGAATCTTCCCAAGGGGAAGTCATCAGGCCCTCTCCCCTTTCCCCAGAGCAAGGCACCTGGCCTGTCCATTTACTTCAGGGTTCCCCAGATCCCATGGGAATGTCCAACAGGGGGTGCAGAGCTCCCTTGTGGGGACAGCTACCCACTTCTTACTTGCCCGTCTACACTCCCAATGTAGTAATGCCCTTGGCCACACCACCTCCCACTTCTTGTTCCCAGTGTCCATCTTCAACCAGTCCAGCCTACTGGAGTGTAGCCACTAAATCCCAAGAGTCCCAGGACCTGCTCTGTGATCTAGATTCCCTCTTCCAGGGAGTACCACCCAACAAGAGCATCTATGATGTGTGGGTCAGCCACCCTCGGGACCTGGCTGCTCCTGCCCCGGGCTGGCTGCTCTCCTGGTACAGCCTGTAATAGTTCAAGGCAGGCAGGGGCTGCTTTTCCCTTCCACCCCTGGATACCATTTTGATGGGAGAACCAGAGCCAGGAGCACGTCCACAACAACAGCTTTAAAACACCAGGCACAGCCTTGCTGAAAACCCACAACTTTAATTGGGTTACTCCAGAAAGGTTGCCTCTGCTAGATATGACAGGTCTGGCCAATCATGCCTTCGACTCTCCCACACACAGGGACCGGGTCTGGAGAAAGCGCTCAGGCGAGAGTAGTGCTTCTTTTCTTGATCTCACCTTCTCAGGCCTTCATGCCATCCATCTATCCATCCCTCTGTCACCACGCCTTCCTGGCTCCAGGCTGGGGGAGGGAGAGCCAAAGCGGGTCCAATCTGAAGTCTCCCCCCCCCCCACCTCAGCTGCCTGGGTAGGAGGTAGCACCTTTTGGGGGGAAGGGTTAGGAAATGAAAGACTGGACCCTACATGATTTGTGGGGGATGGAAGTAGGGGAGAAGTTAACAGTAAAGGAATTTACAACACTTTAATTCCAAGTCTGATATTGGGGGCAGGGTGGTGACTTGGGAAACCACTTGGTCTGGGGTCTGGTTCCTGCAGCTCTGGATCCCCTGCTGTGTGCTGTGATAAGGGCAAATGGTGATAAGGTGAGAGCAGAGGGCCTGTGGCCCACTTGGGGGTGGAAGGGTGGGGGCAATCATTTCTCCAAGCACAACATTCCCTGGCCAGATCCAGAAGGGCAAGGGGGAAATTGTGGGGCTCTGGGGGCAGCTAGGGCCTGAGTGTAAAAAGAAAAGAAAAAAAAAAAAAAGGTTGACCTGGGAGACGGGGTATAGGAACTTCACTGGCCCTCTGCCAGCAGAGGTATGCGCTCAAGCCCAGTCCTAGGGGCTCTGACCCAGATCTACGGAGGCAGGTCCCCTGGAGGCTCAAGAATCAAGCCAGAACAGCTGTTGGGGCCGGGACTTGGAGGGGTGCCAGGAGATGGTGTAGGGGTGCAGGAAGTCCCAGTGAGTGGGGTGTCGGTACTGAGAGAAGAAGGGGTTCCCGAGCGTGGGGCCCTCCGGCGCCGGGCTGGCCCCAGTTCCACTTGACCCACTCGCTCGGCGAACTTGAGCGAGCAGATGGTCTCGCCAAGATCTTCGGTCCTCGTGGAGATCTGCAAGAGAGGGGTACTCATGCATAGTTCCGGTGCACAGTGCTTCAGGCTTGCACCGGCCCAGGGACCCACCTGCAGCAGCAGCACTGCGGTGGTGCCCGCGCCAAGCGCGGGCTGCAGCAGGCGTGTAAGCTGTGAGTCTCGGAAAGGTACGTGCGGCCGCCGAGCTCGGAGCGCTGCCATCACCCCTCCTAGCGCCAGCAAAGAGCGGTTGATGGCCTGGGCCTCCCGCAGGCGCCGGGCGCCATTCGGGTCTCTCTGTAGCGTGCTGGCCACCCCCGCTTTCCACACACGCTCGGATCCTGCCAGGTCCACCAGGTGCAGTGTGCCTGCAGGTGCAAATGAAGCCCATGTGGAGGGAGCCCTCTAGTGACCTGGAAACCCAGCAGGACTTAAGCACCATCAGTGATACCTGTGATACCCTGGGCACGAGGTGGAGATGCTGCACGCAAAGTCAGCGTAACTAGGGCGTGGGAGCGTGAGCTGTGCTGGTTCATGACCGTGGCTGCTGTAGCTCGGTTGCTCCTCCCCAGACTCAGCATCTGGATATATGTGTGTGTGTGTGTATATATATACCTGATATATACATATATACCAGATATATATATATATATATATATATATATACACACACACACACACACACACACACACAGTCCCTGCCCCCAGGTGGGAGCCGACAGGGGCCCTGAAGAGGGCAGCCTTACCTGGTGCAGGGTTTCCAGGTTAGGCACATCCCAGTGTGTGAGGCCAGCCACTTGAATTCCCCCTTGCCCTGCAGGCCCCTGCCTCACAACCAGGCGCTCTGGAGGCCCTGTAGCTAGGAGGTCCCTGGTGAGAAAGGGTGGGCTTGATCTATGGGTCTACAGGTGGCTGCAGAACCCTGGGGCAGGGAGAGAGCCGCCCACGCATCCCTGACCTGACTGCCTCGTTGTAGATCTCCACCATGCTGAGGGTCACATGGTGGTGCCCTCCAGTCCCCATCTCCCGGAACAGCAACTGCAGTGCCCTAGGAGCTATGCCAGGGTCCTCAGGTGGGCCCTGAGGACAGTGTGCAGTGCCACATTGGACTCTCATACAAACCCCTGAGGCTCCCCACCTCCCACCCCCAAGTGTGAACTCCAACCCACCTCCATGCTGTAGGTTTTCCCAGTCCCAGTCTGACCATAAGTGAAGATGCAGACGCTGTAGCCCTGGAGGCAAGACAGCACAGCTGGTTCCAGCTGCCTGAAGACCTGGGGACAAAAAACAGGTGGGAAGAGTGTCCTCAGCTCTTCCCTGTTCCCTAGTCAAGACCTGGAGGTAAGTGCAATCAACGAAATGCAGGCAAAGTGTAATTCCCCTGGAGAGTGGCCCTAAGAATTGGTGGGGTGGGGACATTAACAAAAGACAGCAGTCTGGGAGAAAATGCAGAGTCCTAGGGACCAGTTAGGAGGTCCTGGGGGAGTGGTCAAGAGCTTAGATGCCAGGGCTGGACTTCCAGGTTAAACCAGATACCAATCATCCTTTCTATGTTTTTCTGGGTCATTCCTCTAGGGCAACTAATAGAAATGTGTGCTGGAGAACCTGAGCGGTATGGGACAAGAAAAGAATAAACCGAAGCAGGGAGTAGGGGCTCACACCTTTAACCCTCAAGAAGCAGAGGCAGGCAGATCTCTGAGCTCGAGGCCACCCTGTCTCATAGGTAGTTCCAGACCAGCCAGAGATACACAGTGAGACCCTATCTAAAAAACAAAAAAGACAAAAAAAAAAAAAAAAATCCAAGAGGGCCTCTGTGGGCATGGGGGTTAGTCACTAGGGAAGACTACAGGAACTCAGGCTCTGAGAAATAGCTGAGTGAGACATGGGGCTGAAACATTCATAATGTTGGCCAGAACTGTTGTGGACACAATTAATAATAGCCTTTTGAGTATCTACATGGCCAACTTTCATATCAGAAGGTCCCTAGAGATTGAGTGGCTGTCACTTCTGATTGATGTCTTGATGGATGATCAGATAAACAAAGTCTAGGATTACCAGAGTGAGGATGAAAAGTTCAGGACTGGGTGGTATAAAGATGAGGAATACTGGTGAGGAACTTCCTGAGAGATACCTTTGGTCCAGTTTGTTAGATTGAGGACCCGGTCCAGGCTGCCCAGAGTACAGTAGAAAAGTGTAGGGAGCTGTGCGTGGCTGCAGACTGGGGTGGGAGATGAGGCCAGGACAGTGTACAGGACAGACAGAGATAGATGGGAAGTCAGTCAGTGGTGGACCTATCCCTGCTAGTCACACATTATACCGTTTCTGAGACCAGCAGGTAGCGGGGGCTTCTTTGGCCAGCTCTGTCCCTTACCTAATCCCTCTCCGCTCTGAGCCTCCACCTCAGTCACAGAGACTGCAGTGGCACAGTTAATGTGCAAATGGAGACCGTGTGTGAAATAAGCTGGGTTAGACTGCTTTCCCACGGGTGTCTGGCCAGAAAAGAGGGAAGAGTGGGGTTTATTGGAGCAGGCAGTAGGGCAGCACTGGGGTTGGCAGCTGCCCTGCTCACTTATCAGCTACGCTCCCACCTAACTTGCCTTAGGGTCACAAAGCAAGTAGAGGGTCTGCCTTCACTGATGGGCGGAGCCTGAATCATAAGAAGAAGGGTGTGTCATGAAGCCTGGGTGGAAAAGGCTCCAAGCCATCACCCCTAGGATCATAGCCCTGTCTTTACCATTGTGGTACCCGTCCATGCTCTGCAGCCAGTTCCACACAAACAGTAACTCACCTTGGACAGGTTCATTTTCCTTAGCACTCAGCTGGGCAGCCAATCCTGCCTCCAAGGGCTTTCAGTGGCTCCCTTCCCTGATGCAGCCCAGCCTCCCTCCCGCCTTCTAGGTACTCAGATAGTCATGGAAGAGGGAATGGGCCTCTCCTGGACCCAGGGGACTCTTAAGGAAGGGTCAGGACAGATGCAAAGGTGGCTGTCACCTCCTCCTGGCTGGCATCTGGAGGAAAGACCCAGTCCAGGCGAAAGCGGTGCTGGCGTCCTCGGTGGCAGGTGGTGATGGTTCCCCCTTGTCCAGGCTCTACGCTCACCAGGCTAGAAGGTATCCCTTCAGCTGGTCTCAGTCGACAGAGCACACGGATATTGCCTGCATTGGGGACCACATCAGCAGATTGTCTCAGCCCTGAAACATAGAAAGCTCCTCCTCTTCCACCCTGTAGTCTCCTCTGCTCCACTCCCAAAGCCGATCTTACCCTTGAGTTCCAAAAGCCGCCCTGAGCATCCAGCTGGGGGTCCCTGCTGCCCCTCTGGGAGCTGAGTCCTAGCCCCTCCAGCTGACAGAGCCCCAAGGGCCCAGGATACCTGTGAGGAAGACAAAGACAAGCACTCAGGCAACTCCAAGTGAAGCGGGGTGCCGAGAGCACCAGGACCGGCTGTGGTGGCACACAACTTTCAGTGGGTACGGACCCCTGAGGGCATCATTCAGTGAGTGTGAGACAGGATCTAGGAAATCACAGGCAAAAATATTCATTCTATCGGCTGTCCTTCTGGGCTTCTCAGCAATTGCCAGTTTTCACAGCACAGAAATGAGGACTCAGCCAGGTGGTGGCACACAGTTAATCCCAGCACTCAGAAGGCAGAGGCAGGCAGGTCTCTGAGTTCAAGACCAGCCTGGTCTACAGAGTGAGTTCCAGGACAGCCAGGACTACAAGAGAAACCCTGTCTCAAAACTACTGCCCCCCCCAAAAAAAAGAAAGAAATGAGGACATTTTGGGCCACTCAGAAATCATTCTGATCCAACTGCCTACAACTGACCCACTGGTACAGGCAGCTCATGAGGGACAGAAAGGGAGACACAGTAACAGAGGCTCCCTCCCCTAGGAAGAACAGCAAACAGGCTGCTCACAGAGAAGGTACTAGGAGAGGAGCAGTCCTGACCTGGCCCTGGGCCTCACTCAGCGAGCCCTGACAACTCTGAGTAAAGGTGCTGACCAGTCCTCGGAGGTCCCCACAGCCCTGACGAAGGCTGGCCATTCGTGCGCGAAGTCCTAGAGGAGGAAGGCCATTGAGAGGAGAGGAACAGATTCCAGAGCTTTCCCAGAAACCATTTTCTCCTAGCCCTTACCTGCCAGCTGTCCATGAACTTGCTGCAGCTCCTGTCTGCAGTTCTGTTCTGTCTCCTGCTGGAGCTGCTGGAGGGCCCCTCGAAGGCCCTGCAGCTGCATCTCCTGCACCCCCAGCTGTCCCTCCCAACCCCACTTCAGTCACTGAGGAAACAGGCACCAGGCCCTGCCCCAGACTTCACCTCCCAGCATCCCAGCCCTCCTTATCCCTAGGTCCCCTAGCCTACCTGGACTCGGAGGGCTTCTGTGGTGTCTTGGGCCTCTTGAAGCTGGCCCTGCAGCTCCAACAGAGCCCCTGCCTCCTCCTATAGGAGAGTGGGAGCCAGATGGGCCATCGAGCCAAATGGGAACTCAGGAAAGGGTACCTTATAATACATATGTATATATATAATGCTATTTCACAGACGGAAGGTCAAATCAAGGGTGGCAAGTGACAAAACCCCTGGCACCAACTCTGTGCCGGGCTCCCTGTCCAGTCTCTGTTCTCCTAAGGTTACTCAAAGAGACCAAGAATTGTGGTGGGGTATGGGGGGTCTTCTATGAGCATCAGCCTCACCGACGGGGCTACCCTACAAAGAATCACCCAGAGTTTCTCCCTAGTTAGAGATGGCCCCCGACTAAAGCAACCACAGAGTCCCGGGGAGGTTTAAGTACTATACCAGGAGCCTGGACTGCGGACACCACAACAGCCAAATAGAGTACCTGTGGAGCTCTGGTGAGGGGGCCAGGGCCCCAGTGCAGCAGGAGGTCCCGAGTCAGGCTCAAGCTCTGCTTCAAGGCTTCATTCTCCAGTGTGAGATGCTGAACTCTTTTCTCTGAATCTGTCACCCCCTGACAGAGAGGGATGCCATCAGGGTTCACCTGAAATTCCCTTGATTTTCAGTCTGCTCCCTGGGCCCCTGTCCCCCGATAGCCTCACCACTCCCAGGCGCAATCTACTCAGCTCTTCTTCCTGCTGCTCCAGTTGCTGTCTCAGCTCTTCCAGCTGCGGAGGAGTCAGGGACAGGATGCGATTCCTTTTTTGGGTCTCACACCCGTCCAGTCCCTGCTGCTCCCGATTCTCTTACCTGTCCAAGAATAAGCTGTTCCAGCCTCTGCCAAGCCCTCTGTTCCTCCTCCAGCTGGGGAAGCTGATGTTCCTGGGTCTCATCCCCTGGTACCTCATCCAGGATGGGAGTGGGTTGAGAGGCGCTTTCTTCTTGGGACAGAGACCCTAAAGAGAGGTTACAAGTAAGGAAATGTCTGGCCTAGAGAGCAGAGACGAGTCTGATAGACCCTGCTCCTCCACCCCCAAACAGTGGTGCCCTTTACAAACCATCTGGAGTGGAGGGCTGCACTGGGCAGGCTGTCAGTGTCCCCTGGAGCAGGGCCTGCCTCCCCCGAGGGCTCCGTGTCCACGCCAGAAGGGCCAAGAGCTGACTTGTTACTGTCAACAGTGGGGGGACCTCACCAGGCTGTGAAGGAAATAAGAACCAGAGCAGAGGTGTTGGGGGTGTGGGAAGCACAGAGGCCGAGGAACTGAATAACTGCTCTTGGTGGTATGCTCACCTTGCTCGGGTCAGGAGTCCCGCAGCTCTCTTCTGCCCCCAACTGGACGGAGAGGAACTCAGCAAGGCGCATGAGTGCCTCTTCCAGAGACACCTCAGGTGCTCCACCCTCGGCTCCTTTCTGACCATCCTCAGATTCTGAGCAGCCTTCGAGGCCAAGTAGTGGAAGGAAGAGGCATTCCGTATCACCAGTTGGAGGCTAGGCCTTTCTCCCTCCCAGTGAGGTCACAGTACTCCAACTGCAGGGCTCCCTCAAGACCCTTGCCCAGGAGCTCCTTGGCATGCACCTACCCGCTAGGCTGTTCAGCTCGGTCCACAGCTCTGATGTGAACTGATCGGGGCGACGACGACCCCTAGGTTTGCCATCGCTTCTCTGAGAAGAGAGTATGGGGCGCCAGTGAGGGTGCTGGCAGCATGGAGGGGCTCTTTCCCTTCTGAAACGGGCCAAGGGGTTTGGGCTGAGGTCTATGACCCCAACACCTGCAGAGACAAAACTAGTCTCGGAACAGCCCTATTCCCCAGAGCCAGCACCTAAGGACATACATAAGCTGCACAAGTCGGCCACGACCAGATCTCAGGGTGATGGTGGTAACCAACCAGGATGCAGGCCCACTCCGCTCACCTGGGTGGGGTCGCCGGGGTCCGTGGCCGCCGCAGCCCCGCCATCCCTGCGAAAAAGACTGTAGAAGATGTAGATGAGCAGAGAGTAAAAGGCGTACATGGGGGCGCGGGGCGGCAGAGAGCACCGCTTCGCGCCGCCCCGCGTCCCCGCACCAGGACTCTGCACCCGCCCGCCGCAGTGCCCATGCGCATGCTCGCGGCGGCCGCCCCCACGGACGATCTTCCGCGGGCGGAGGGCGCACGCTGAGGGGCGACCGCGGGGAGCCGCAAAACCTGTCCTTATTGCCCTGTCAAGCGGTTTTGTTTTTTTTTTTTTCAGTCCCTATTTCGCAAAGAGTGGACGCAAAGAGCTCCAACGGCTGTCTAGCCTCTTTTGGGAATCCTGGCCCGCACTCCGCGGAGACCCCCCCCCGCCCCAGCCAAGGTACGCGCACACGCTTAACAGCCTTCGGTGCACAGGTGTACAACCTCTCCTCCCCCGGTAGCCCAGCCCAGGCCCCACCCCTCCCCCGGAGCCCGACCCAGTCCCGCCCAGATCTCCCCTTCGGTCACATCCTCGCCCCTCCCACAGCCCAGCAACCCTCCTTGGAAGCCTCACCCCGCCCCCGCCACACAGCTCCGCCCTAGACCCCTCGAAGCGCCACCTCTCTTCTCTCAGTCCCAGCCTACTCCTCGGAAACCCCGCCTACATCCCCGCCTCGGATCCCGGACCCTTCACCGTCCCCGGTGCACGAGCAAACCCGTACTGAAGCCGGTGCGCACGCCTCTCATCCCAGCACTCGGGAGGCAGAGGCAGGCGGATCTCTGTGAGTTTGAGGTTAGCCTGGGCTACAGAGCGAGTGCCAGGACAGTCGGGGCTCCATAGAGAGATCCGATCTAAAACACAAACCCGTCCCGAACATCTTCTGGCCGTGACCTCCACCCTTCCAGCCCCACCCCTCTAGAGCCTTCCGCAGGCCCCGCCCCGCCGCTCTAGCCGGAGCTCCTCTCGTTGGTGGAGGTAAGCGGGCGGCTGTGGTCAGCGCCGAGGGAGGGCGGGCTAGGAGGCGGGGCTGACTGTTGTGGGCGGGATCGGGCCTTCGGCTCGGTGTCGCCAGGTGCGTGCGCTGCGCGCTGCCTGGCTCGGGCTGGCCTGCGCTGCCGCTCCTTCCCTACCGGGGCGTGGAAGACCATTTCTCTCCAAGTGCTAGGACTCGGGCCCAGGCCACAGCAAGGGACTGCGCGTCCTGCTGTCCCGAGGACCTCGCTTGGGCGCCAAGATTCCAATCCCTGTCCCCTTCCCCAATAAATTAGTCTTTCTTCCCTGTAGGTGAGTCCAGTGACCTCAGAGCTCCGAAGAGTTTGGGGCTTGAATCTAGTCTCATGTCTACTCAAAGGTCTCTGGAATTTGAGATTCCTGAAGAGCGGCACTAAGAAGGACTCGAAATCGCCGGCCTCCGGGCTTTCTTCTCTCCAGATTCGAAGATCCCTTCCCTGCCTCCTCAGACTCACTAGACTGTTCGAGGTGCCATGGTCTCCAAACCCAGGAGTGAATGGAGTACCCTCCTGTCCCACCTGGTGCTGGCAGCCGTGTCTCTGCATGCGGCGGTGAGCTCCGTACAGGTGAATATTCTTACTTTCACAAACCATGTAGATCGCTGCACTAGAAAGAAGGTGGCAGGAGGCATGGATGAGGTAGGGTCTCCTTGACAGCCCCAAACTCTTTTTAGAAGGGTGACTCCTGGCTCCTTAACATGTCTGTCTTCCCTGTGTCAACAGTCCAGCCGAGGAGCTGCTGCTGGCTTCCTGCTCCAGACCTTTGCAGCCATCGCTATGTTGGCCCCGGGGCTGAACACACACGAAGACTGTCTCGCTGGAGCTTGGGTTGCCACGGTCATCGGTCTGCCTCTTCTGGCCTTCGACTTTCACTGGGTGAATGGGGACCGCTCTTCTGCCAACCTGCTCCTGGGAGGAGGCATGGTGTTGGCAGTAGCTGGTGACCACCTTGGCCCTGAAGGGTGCTCTGTGGCCGGGCAGGCAGTGCTGCTGGTGGTGGCCGTGACCATCCTTATTGTAGCTGTCTTCACGGCCAACACTTACGGGATGTGGGGGGGGTGCCATACTGGGCGTGGCGGGGCTCCTGAGCCGCCTGGAAGAGGACAGGCTGCTGTTGCTGCCCAAGGAGGATGTCTGTCGCTGGGCCCTGGCTGCGGGCAGTTGGGCCTATTGCCGGGCCCTGCAAACACAGCGTCCACAGTGGGAGTGATGGTGGGCCTCACACAGCAAGGCGGGGCTTCTGTTCCAGGTACTACTTCCCTCCTCCTGGCCTATGTTAGGGATAGGATTTCTTTCCTCTGGAAGTGAGCCCCCTGTGGACTCACTAATCAGGGGCAGAGCGTGGGTGCGCTGTCCCTTCTCTGGTCGTGCATGTGTGGAAGCTTGCCTAAACCAGAATGCAACAGGTCTTCAGCACACTTGGGGCCCGATTCTGGGAGGAACATGGTTGTGAGTCAGAGGCCGGATTTCCAATAAACCTTAGGAATATACAGGAGTATGGAATCTGCTTCTTCTTGAGCTAGCTTCCCTAAGGCCTCCAAGGGTATCAGCTGATTTCCCTGAGTAAAGAAGGGATGATGTGCTTTAACTAGTAGAAGGCATTATTCACCTTGGCATTCTGGCAGATTTGCCAAGAGAACCCCAGTGTGCTGGGCTTGGTGGTGCAGGCCTTCAATCCCAGTTGGGAGGCAAAGACAAGCGGATCTCTGTGAGTTCTGGACCAGGCTAGCCTACATAGGTTGAATTCCAGAATGGCCAGTGCTACATATAGTGAGATCCTGTATTAAAAAAAAGAAAGGGCCGGGCGGTGGTGGCGCACGCCTTTAATCCCAGCACTCAGGAGGCAGAGCCAGGCGGATCTCTGTGAGTTCGAGGCCAGCCTGGGCTATCAAGTGAGTTCCAGGAAAGGCGCAAAGCTACACAGAGAAACCCTGTCTCGAAAAACCAAAAAAAAAAAAAAAAGAAAGAAAAAAAAGAAAGAAAGAAAGAAAAAAGAAAGGAAGGAAGAAAGAAAGAAACTCCATGCTGAAAAGACAGTTTTTGGGTCTTGGTTTCCTGGGACAAAGTAGATTTGCATATATCCTTGGTGGACCTGGCAGGTGGCCCTCTGGGGCAGTGACCTTCACAAGCTGATGGCCAAGTTAGTAAAGGGCAGAGGAGGGCTGTACCTCAGTGATTCCCAGGAACTGCACATCCCTTTTTTTTTTGTTTTTGACACCCTCTTGTCTGTACAAGCCACGTCTTATAACTCAAGACCCTCACTTTCCTGTATGGACTCTATTTTCCAGCCTCCAATCAATCCTGGGGCTGGGCCGAGGGGTGGGTTAGAGTGTACCCAGCCCTTCGCTGTTCCTGTACTCGCTGCCCGGTCGACGTTTATCCTGTCGCGCAAGAGTGGTGGTCAGTGGGTTTTTCACTCTAGTCAGCTAGGCCAGAGCCTGGCGCACGCACGTAAGCCCGAATTTCTGTGGACAATGGTACAGGCTCACCCCGACATGGGAGTCTTAGGGGCGCTTTGCACTCTCCAGGAGTCCAAGTCTGGGTGTTTCTCCGGACCCCAGAGCAGGTTGTACCTCTCCAGGGGCGCACCCCCTGCTGCCCCCTATCCCTCCCCCCCAACTCTAGCCTCCTGGCCCCCACTTCTGTTCACCTTCCACAGTGGGTGGGCCCTCCGGCATTCTCGCTCGTCCATTGGCGGTGGCCCCCGCAGCGTCTAGACCCTCGCGGCGCTACCATTTGCCCGCGCGGAGCACACGTGACCAGCAGGACGAGGGGGCGGTGGCGTGGGGGGGGGGGTCCGCAGCGAAAACAAAGATGGCGGCCGCGCCGGGGTTGGTGGCCGGGGCGGCTGCGGGCCGACGCGCGGGCCAGGCCCACTGAGGCAGCGGCGCGGTGGGCAGGTTGCAAGGTCGCCGCGGCAGCGAGGAGCCGGCAGGGGCGCGCGGCGACCCTAACTTCCAGCCGGCGAGCGCGCCGGCATCCGCCCGCCGGGCCGGCCGGCCGCGATGTCCGGCGCCGAGGAGGCCGGCGGGGGTGGCCCGGCTGCGGGGCCCGCGGGTGCCGTGCCGGCCGGGGTCGGGGTAGGGGCCGGGCCTGGGGCTGCCGCGGGGCCAGCTGCGGCGGCGCTGGGCGAGGCGGCGGGGCCCGGGCTCCCGGACGAGGCGGGCCTGGCCGGCGCTCGGCAGCTGCAAGAGGCGGCCGGCGACCCTGACGCGCCGCCCAAGAAGCGGCTGCGGGCGGCCGAGGCGGCCGAGGCGGCGGCGGCGGCGGTGGCAGCGGGCAGCGGGAAGCTGGAGGAGCGGCTGTACTCGGTGCTGTGCTGCACCGTGTGCCTGGACCTGCCCAAGGCTTCTGTGTACCAGGTAGGGCCGCCGGCCCGACCCGGCGCTGCGTCGCCTGGAGGCCGGGGGCCGGTGGCCGGGAACCCTTTCCTATCCAAACATCCACCTTCCAGGCCTTCGAAACCCTGCTCCTGTCTCAATGCTCCTTGTCTTTTCTTGCTTCGAATCTCATTTTCCGTGTTCTGCGTTACCCTTTACTTCTCCCTCTGAATTTCTTCTCTCCTCTTTAGATCTCTTGTCTACGTCTTCTGGTTCCCCCAGGGTGCCCTCCTTGACATATTCCAGATCCCGTTCAGCTGACCTCGCAGAGATCTGTGAACAGGTGTCCTCCCACCTTTCCTACTGCTCATCAACACTGCCCCTCACTTCTAGACTCCCTGGATGAAGACGCTTCTTATCTGGAGATAGGGCTCCAATTCTGGCAGCCACACCCCCCCCCCCCAAGAGTGCCCTTCCATGCCTGAACATTAAGTATACCTCCTTTTCTGCCCTATGAAGCACAGTTTCCTTCTGAAGAACTGGAAGAAGGAAGGGTCTCTCATCCCTTCCCAATCCTAATCTGGATGAAGCCAGCTGCATCAAATCCTCCTTTTTGGGTACTTTCTCCTGCCCCAACCTGGCCAGTTTTCCTACTCAGGCCCATCTCACCCATGCCAAGCTGGCTTCCAAAGTTGTCAGGGCCTAGGAACTTTGTCCTAACCCTTCCCATCTGAAGACCCAGTGTGCCAGGAGTATACTCAGCATACTTGTCTGTGTGGGCCTACCATGCCCTCTCCCAGGCAGAAGAGAGCAGACCTCTGGTTCAGTGGGAATTGTCTGTCCACCTTTCCCTGGTTTCTTTCCACCTCAGTTCCCGGCCTCTGTCAGCTTTCTTTGTACTTAAAGTAGCTGAAAGTAGCTGGTGAGGCCTGTTTCCCTGTTTTTCTTTGGACTGAGGACCTGGCTGAGGGCCAGCATAGGTCTAGTTTGTGTAGCTGTTCCCCCACCCTTTGGATCTCTATGTTCTTGCCTTGTCCTGAGGTTGTTGGTGTGTGTGTGTTGGGGGGGGGGGGGGAGATTCCAGTGACCTGGATGGGGACAGTCACCCTCCTAGGTGTTACGCTGGGGCCAACTGGAGGTCCATTTCCTACAGCTGCTGGTTCCAGCACCAGTATCTGCCTCTCACTTTAGAGGCCATCAGAACCTGCTCACAACCTTTTGTCTTGGCTTGGCTTCTTGGTTCTTCTTCGTGGAAGAGTTCTTCCCTTCCTAGGATTGAGTGAGAGTCCAGCAAGACAAGGCAATAGAAGGGGGTCCCAGGGAATTCAGGAGGTTCTTGGTTGTTCCTGGCATGGTGATAGGCCCCATGATATTGGCTCCTGGTCTACACAGGGAGCCGCCGTCCTGCTTCTGTCCAGAGTGACTAATGAGACTAGCAGGTTCAAACCAGTCTACACCGTGTTAGGAATTGCTCTGGCTTGGGCAGCTGGAGTTAGGCAGCTGAGGAAGTGTAATGAGTGGTGTGAGTGGAGGGGGGCTGCCTTCCCAGGTCCTGTCCCAGGCTGAAGGCAGCCAGGGTATTCCTGGAGCACACTTGGTGACCCAGAGGAGCTATGGGCATTGACACTGATCTCTAGGCTCTGCCACTAGGCCCCTTCCTATCTCTCTTCTGTTTCCCTGTCACCCGCAAAGACTGGGAGAATTCTTTAGAATATGTGATTTTGGAAGAACCCTTGAGCAAATTATCTTTGCCTATGCACAGATACCATGTAAAATGGGAGTGCAGCGAGAGGAAGTTTCCTAGTATCTTAGAATACTGCCAGAAACACCTGTGGCAGTCTCCTACCATATGCAGTGTAGCTCTGGAGGGTCTTGTTGCTGTCCCCACCAAGGTACCAGACAGGCCACTTCAGGGTTCTTGCCTAGTCTTCTCAGGATCTGAGCACAGATGTCAGTATCCCTGGCCAGGATCCACTGCTGGTCACCACCTCTGCCTAAGCTCAGCTCTTCTATCTTCTGCTCATCTTCTTGTCTAACCCATATTGATAGACTGTTTCCACCTTCAGCTTTCGATGGCAAGATTTGCCTGACCTCAGCAGAACACATGGCTCCAGGTGGCCCCAGCCATGCTGTGCATTCTGGGAACTGACTCAGATGCTCTGCTGGAGTGAAAAGGAGTGGGTAACCATGCTATGCCTGGCATGAACTGTGGGGAGAATTCCATGGGCTGCTGGAGTTGGCTGGGTATGTGGTAACTTGAGAGTGTATTATCCGAATGCCACCTGTGCTGCCAGGGAAGCGGACAGGAACAGACTCAGGCCGTATATGTGGGCTCATCCTCCTGGTCCTGAGATAGCCTTTGGACCTGCAGGGCCAATTCCCATGGGCCATACTCATACACGCTGACATATCACAGACTAGGAAATTTGCTCAGGTTGTCTGACCAAGGCTGTCAGCCAAGTAGCTCTTATCCCCGGGGCCTGTGTCAAGTGCTGCAGCAGGTACTACAGGTGCATGCTTTGATGTTCTCTGTGTGGGCGCTAGGTGTATCCTGGGCAACTGGCCTGGCAAGGTGTGTAGTCTAGGGTGGGCCCTTCCCAAGTCAGCCAGGCACTATGGCAGGTGTCTGGTAGGTGGCATGAAGGCCGGAGGGAACCCACACAAGAACTAGCTAGTCCAGACTGGGCAGATGGACAGGCAGTTTGTGCTGGCTCCCTGTTCTGGATGTTTTCGTGAGGCCAGAGGGCAATGTCATCAGTCAGTAACTACCCATGGTAGTGCCTTGTCTGGGGGAGTCCCAGCCTGCAGTGTTGCAGCTGTAGCCTGAGCCCTGACCTACGTCCCCTAGCTTTCCTGCTATAGTCCTTCACGTACAGTCCAGTATGGACTTCTGTAAGATAGACCCAGCCTTGACCCTTTCCTTGAGTGTCAGCCAGGTCAGCCTCTTAGCACTGCATCTGGCAAGGATTCTGCTCGTTCTTCCCACCCTTCCCAAGCCTTTGAGTTCAGGGATCAGTTAAATGGGCCTCTGTTATGGCACACAGTGACTCCACCTATATCTGATAAGAGCCCAGGCACTCTGTGACCGGGGCCCCCTGTCACTACTCCACTGTCGGACATGTTTTCACTTGTGCTGCCCTCTCCACATCCCTGCCTGCCTCTTTGCTTCCTCTTGGGCCTGACTGTAACAAAACCCATCCGGGGCCTTCTGTTCTCCCTTTGACAAGGATTCCTATCCTTTCCTACTCTGCCCCAGGCCCCAGAAGATGGTTATGTTCTGCTTTTGCCTCTGAACATGGGCAACTGGCTATCTGGTTCAGAAAAAGCCCAGAAAACATTTGTTCCGTCTCTCCCCAAGACCCCTTCTGAGATTGTTTGGTGTCCAGGGGCTATCACACACATGGTCTGGCATCCCCTGGCACTGACAATAATGATGGTTCTTTCTTCTCCCTCCTCCTCCTCCTTTTTATTTGTATGTGCATGAGTGTTTTACCCATATGTATGTGCATCATGTATGTGCCTGGTGCTTGGAGAGGTCAGAACAAGGCTTCAAATCCTCTGAAACAGGAGTTATGGATGATTGTGAGCAACAGCAGGTGCTGTTAACTGCTGGGCCAACTCTTCGGCCCCTTACTAGTTCTTTGAGGCAGAAAAGAGCCTTGAGAAAAGGTCTGCTTAGGTATCCAAGGAAGGACTACAGGCTTTTTGTTTCGGTTTTTGGGTGTGTGTGTATGTGTGTGTGTGTGTTGGTTGGTTGTTATTTTGAGTTCCTTTTTAAATCTAATCAGTGTTCGATTCTGAGTAGAAGCCGCATTCTGGGAGATTGCTGGGCCCTACCCGAGTCCTGGATGTGGCTGGCCTAGAACTTCACCTCCAGCCTGAGCAGAAGGCTCTCGTGCTGTTCTTGATTCCACCGTACTGGTTGTGTGCCCATTGACAAGGAGCCAGTTCTGCTCAGGCCCCTGCTTGACCCCGGAAGTTCAAGAAGCTGGGTCAAGCCTCAAGGTGCCACTAGGCCTGATGGAGCCTGACCTGTATCCAGGACACCATGGAAGGCTAAAAAGAAAGAGGCTCAGGCGGCCAAGCAGCACTTGGGTATTAGTGCATTTGGGGTACCAGTGGCTTCTGTCAAGAATCTGGGAGTCCGTGATACTCTGAGTGGGAGGGTAGGCATTCATATGGGTCTAGATAGCATACACAGTACTTTGGACCCCCTGTGTTTGTGGGGACTATGTTCCAGGCTTGAAAGAGGCCGACTGACTACAGGGAACATATAACCAACCGTAAGTTGTGAAGGACCCATTTCTAAGACCTGCTTATGGGTCAGGGGCCCCTAGGGCTTCTCCATGAGCATAGCTATTCCATCTACCTCTTTTCACCCAAAAGGAGAGCCTAGCTCAAATAGAACACTCCTGCCCTGGGTATGTATGCACTGTCTGAGTACATGTAAGCTTCCCATAGATTGGTAGATGAAAGGGCTAGGTGCTGGCCTGGAAGTGTAGGAGCAGATGACTGTTTTCTGGACAATTTAGAGGAGCCTAGGACCTCAGCCCCATGGGGATGGAGCTCTACAGGCTTTGACATGGATAACTGCAAGGGGAGCATTTGTTCCGGGGCTGCTGTAATCTGAGTGTCAAGCTTTGCTGTGACACATTGCCTCTCCTACCTCATCCTGTGCCCGGGAAGAAACTGAGACCAGCAGAGAGAAGATAAGTCCAAGATCATGCTGTTGGTGACCTATAGGCTGAGGGCGGAGCTCAACCCTGTGAGCTCCAACTCAGTGTCTGTCACAAGAGGGCCTACAGTGTTATCTTGGATATAAGTCCATAGTTTGCCTGGTTGATGATGGGATGGCAGCCTGGCCTGGCCATTGCAGGAGCACTGTGGAGTCATCTGTGGCCAAGCTTCTGAATAGGCAATGGGCACAAGTTAGGGGATAGGCAGTGTGTCCAGCTAAGGCTAAATATGGCTGCCCTGGACCTACAGTTGAAGTTAGGTCTTGCTCAGGAAGTTATGGAAGGGTGCTAGACTTGTGCATTGTTTATGTAGTGCTAACTTAGAAACCATCCCTTAAATGGCTGGTGAGGGGCTCCAGGAGGTGTACCTTGGCCCTTGGCTGGGCCAGTGTGCCACAGAACATCTTGGGGCTTGTTCTGCCATTGGGAGGTCAACTGTCAGGGCTTTGACACCTCACTTTTCCCAGACCTTGTAGACTTTCCCAGAGGCCCAGAGGGACCCAGAGAAAAACAGGGTAGGCACCACTTCCCTGTGGTGTGGAATTTGAGTCTGGAATTCCCAGGAGGATAGGCCCTGTGGCCAGACTCCGCCCAGGCTTAGGTGGCTTCCGAGGTTGGGAGCAGGAGTGATACTGAGTAGTGATAGGATGGGCAGCCTCGGACTCCTTTCCAAGTCTGCCTGGGCTGAGATTCGAAGCAGGTATCTGCAGCCTGGCTTAGAAACCTTGAGAGGATCAGGCTACAGCCAGGAAAAAGACTGCTGCACCTCTGCTCAAGCTGCTAAACCCTAAAAGTGACTCCAGACCTGGGCCAGAGCTTCATCTAAGTTTCAGGCAGCTTCTTACTGGAAAGTGACTAAAGCTGTGCACATGAGTGGTGGGGCCACAAGGTCCTTGGGTATCTTAGTGCCAATGTCTTGCTGGGTGAACTTTTTCTTTTTCTTTTTAAGACAGCGTCTCAGGTAACCCCGGCTGGCCCAGAAATCACTTTGTATTCCAGTCTTGGCCTCAAACAGTCCTGCCTCTGCCTCTGCCTCTGCCTCTGCCTCTGCCTCTGCCTCTGCCTCTGCCTCTGCCTCTGCCTCTGCCTCTGCCTCTGCCTCTGCCTCCTGAGTTCTAAGCTTACACCACTCTCAGTTCTGGGTAGAGTTCTTGGAGGTTGCTATGTGGTCACGCCCTGCTTCTGTGGGGGCATCCTGAGATGGCCTCTCTAAAACAGGTGAACATTTAATTTTGTGTTGTAGTCCCTTCTGCCTTCCAGAAGGAACAGTAGCCATTGTCCCAGGAATTCCCCGGGCAGATGGTGTTTAAAGGACTGTGACTTGGGCCCTTGGTCAGCACCTGCCATACCTATACCCAGGTCCTGAGCCCATTCCCATTGACTTCTAGGGGTGGACACAGCAGATGGGTTGTCCATCTCCACTTCAGGTAGCCCACATTCTGGCTGGCCCCTACCATGTCCTCTTCATCCAGACCCAGCTCAGCCAGGCTACTCTCCTCATAGTGCATGTTTTCATTTTTCAGCCAAACTTAGGGTTGGTTGTAGATAATCATGTGGTATCCTTGTAGGCATGGATTCTGCATTCGGCTTCTATCACCATCAGTCTCCAGCATGTAAATTCCATCATTCACTGAGGGCTCAGAGAGCCTGTTAAAGCAATAAGTTGGCAGCTAAGGTTTATTAAGCATGGCAGTTCTGGCATGGCCAGGTAGTGGCTACATATGTCTCTTTCCCTAACGCACACTACACTGTACAGAGCAGCCTTAGAATGATAGGCATGATATATTGTTCTCGTTTTCTCTCTCTCTCTCTCTCTCTCTCTCTCTCTCTCTCTCTCTCTCTCTCTCTCTCGTTTTTGTTTTTCAAGACAGGGTTCCTCTGTATAGACCTGGCTGTCCTGGAACTCCCTCTATAGATAAGGCTGGCCTCGAACTCACAGAGATCTGCCTACCTCTGCCTCCCGAGTGCTAGGATTAAAGATGTGCACCACCACACCTGGCTATTGGTCTCCCCTTTAAAGCTGAGTCCCTCTTGGTGTGAGAGGGCTCTCTCATAGTGGAAGCCCACCCTGGTATAGGGTTCTCAGCCCATCCAGTATCTTTTGTGGCACCAAATGGTAGTGTATATTGACTCAGTAAGAGACCCAGGTTCTAATAGTTTGGTCTGTGTGAGCAAGGACCTCCAGCTGGCAGGTCTGCTCCTGCTGATCCCATTTATATCAGCCTAACTCAGTACCAGGTCCCACCTACCTTTAACCTGAGCCAGCTTAGCCTCCTGCCTGCCATAGGCTTTGTGCCATTGGCTCTGGAGCAACCCCAGTAGGTAGTCGCCTTCCCTGGGTGCTAACAACTGCTAATTGTCACCTATGTTATAAGCAAGGGCTGATATGGAGGGGCCGGGGTTGATCAGCCTCAGCCATTTCTAGTCCCCACATGAACAGCCTTTTGAAAGCCAAGGGGGGAAATGCCTGCCTCAGCAGCAACCGTGACCCCAGGAGCAGCTGCTTGCTGGATACCTTTTCCAGGTCAGGCAAAAAAAAACAGGCTTCTGTGATGGGGAAAGTGGAAAAGCCAGGTTCCAAGCCCAAATGTGATCAGTCAGTTGCCATCAGGGTCTGCTGTAGATGTAGCCAGGACCCCCATGACCTGATAAGGCCCTGCTCTTCCCAAAACCAGAGCTAGGTCTATCCCAGTGTCCAGCGTGACCCTCCAAGCAGCTCTCAGTGTTGGCTAGGTACCAGCAAGACTTGGGAACCAGTGGGTACTCCTCTACTCTCTCCACCTAAACGCCCTCAGGACAACTGGTCTGGCTGAAGCCAGCAAGTGTGGGTGAGCACGTGTGTGTGCGTGCAAGCATCCCACAGGCCTGTGAGCTTCACCTCCCTTTCCTTCTTCGCAGTGTACTAACGGTCACTTGATGTGCGCTGGCTGTTTTATCCACCTACTAGCAGATGCCCGGCTGAAGGAGGAGCAGGCCACATGTCCCAACTGTCGTTGTGAGATCAGTAAGAGCCTCTGCTGCCGGAACCTGGCCGTGGAGAAAGCTGTGAGTGAGCTGCCTTCAGAGTGTGGCTTCTGTCTGCGTCAGTTCCCTCGCTCCCTCCTGGAGAGGCACCAGAAAGAGGAATGCCAGGACAGGTAACCGTGGTGAAGGCTGGGCCCTGGGGACCACATATGCAGCCCAGTGATAACCCTGTAGGCCCAGGTGGTGAGAGCATGCCTTTCCACAAAAGACAGTTAAGGTCTCCACTAGTTGCTCTCTGGATATGATGGTGGCCCTCTAGGAGTCTCTGTGGCTGTTGGGTAGGCCCTTAGAAAGTCCAGTACAGCAGGATCAGTTTGAAAGCTCTGGAGAGTTTGAGGGAGAGTCCTCTTTTGTTTGGCAACCCAGTCCCAGCACATAGAAACAGCCACTTGCCTGGCAAGGCCCTGGCACCAAGAGCTTTTTTCCTGGAATGAGGCTGTGTGGGGTCTGGTATCACGGTTGCAGCCACTTAGCTCCAGGCAGAAGGACAGCAGTACAGGGCACGGGAGGCATGTTGGCTAACAGCATAGTGCTTCTCTCTCCTTCAGTCTCCCCTGCGTCTTTCACATACATGCCTACATGTGCTCCAAGGGGCTGGGCTCACAGTCCATTGTGTCCTACAGGGAAGGGTTTGTGGTTGGGCAGAAGTAGCCTCTGAAAGACTACTGGGCATGGCCATTTACCCCAGCCACAGAGTTGACCACTCTCCTCAACTCCTTCCAGGGTGACACAGTGCAAGTACAAGCGTATTGGCTGCCCATGGCATGGCCCTTTCCATGAGCTGACAGTGCATGAAGCTGCATGTGCTCACCCAACCAAGACAGGCAATGAACTGATGGAGATCCTCGATGAGATGGACCAGAGCCACCGCAAGGAGATGCAGCTCTACAACAGCATCTTCAGCCTGCTCAGCTTTGAGAAGATTGGCTACACAGGTGAGGCACCCCGCATTCCCCTGCATGCCACACAGCTACTGTTTGGGGTTAGAGGGCTGACAGCCAAGAGCCAGGGAGGCAGTAGGCTCTGGGCAGTGGGCACAGGCTGCGCCGAAGGCCAGGCTCTGGACAAGCTCCAGATGGGCAGGAAGATGCCTTGGGGAAGAAGATAGGTTGGAGAGTGAGCAGAAAGAGGGATGCACCTGCATGGCTCTTCCAGAGGTCCTTCCCACCTGTCCCCCCTGTCTCTGCCCACCTCCCCAGCAAGATGACCTCCCCCTCACTGGATGGGGCTCCACAGATTTGGGATGTTGGGTCTAACTAGAAAATGGGGTAGGTTTTGGGCAGTCTGGGAGCTTGGGGCCTTACCTTTGGAGCACAGAACAAGAAGAACATTCCATCAAGTCAGGTCCTGTCTGCAGATGTTCACTGAAAGCCACAGGGCCTCCTGAGGCTGTCAAGAAGCTTGGACAGGGCTCCAGAACAAGCTGAGGGTCTCAGCTCAAACTGTAGAACTGGGAGTGGATTGCCCACACAGGAGTAGAATGGACTGGGCCTATGCTCACTGGATCTCATGGCTCCCAGGCATCTGCTACCAGCTTTGAACATGTCGGGGAGCAGGAGCCAGGCCACAACTTGGGCCAGAGAACAAGAAGCACCTGCTGATACTGGGGCCACTCAGGGAAACTTCATTCCCTCTACTGCTCAGCCTACAGCAGGTGGCCAGCTCAGAGCTCCCAGGGCAGTCTTGGACAGTCAGTCATGCTATGCTGCCTAGACTAGCCCAAACAGGCCTGAGATGCAAAGGGCCCAGGGGCCTGCATCAGCAGAAAACTCTGGCTCTTGGTTAACGGTAGCCTTGGCTGATCTCATGGCCTGTGGGATCTGGGTGGGCCAGGCCATGTGGCTACAGCAGAGGCTGGGTGGGAAGCCCTGTCCACGAAAGAAGGACTGGCTGCCTAAGAGCCCACACATCCACAGCAGGACGTGCCAGCCACAGGACTGCAAAGGCAGGTCTGCCTGCTAAGCGACGGCCCCACAGACAGCGGGGCAGAACCCACACCACAGTGCAACCTCAAGGACTTGGCACTCCCCTTGGGCAGGACCAGATACCGTATGCCCACCTGCCGGCTTTTCTGGCAGCTTTGTATCAGAACCAATAAAGTGCACTTGTTCTCAGAACTGTATCCTGTCTGTGTGTCTGCTTACCCCGCCCCTTCGGGGACAGGGGGCTGAGGGTAAGGAGGGTGGCTCTGTGGGTTGGCCACACCTGGGCCACATGGCCTAATGTCCCACAGCCTCAGGACTCTCCAGCTAATTGGTGTTAATTCTGTATGTAGTTGTTCCCCAAAGCTTGTGCACTTCCATTTGCCATAATTGCGTTTGACTTACCTTGTGACAAGTAGAACGCGCTATCTGGGTAAGTTGCCTTCCTCCCTGGCTGAGCCTGTCCTTGGCCTGTTGGGGAAGGCGCCACCCCCTGGCCCTCCCCAGCACTAACAGTTGGCTGTCTGGCCCTGTCTGTCTCCACAGAGGTTCAGTTCCGGCCTTACCGCACAGACGACTTCATCACACGCCTGTACTATGAGACACCACGGTTCACAGTGCTGAACCAGACATGGGTCCTGAAGGCTCGTGTGAATGACTCGGAGCGCAACCCCAACCTGTCGTGCAAGCGCACGCTTTCCTTCCAGCTACTCCTCAAGAGCAAGGTCACGGCGCCCCTGGAGTGCTCTTTCCTTCTGCTCAAGGGCCCCTACGACGACGTGAGGATCAGCCCCGTCATCTACCACTTCGTCTTCACCAACGAGAGTAACGAGACGGACTACGTGCCGCTGCCCATCATCGACTCGGTGGAGTGCAACAAGCTGCTGGCCGCCAAGAACATTAACCTGCGGCTCTTCCTGTTCCAAATACAGAAGTAGGATGGGCCCGGGACACCTGAGGAGCAGAGGGCTGCAGTCCAGTAGTGCTGTCCCACCCCTCCCTGGCTTGGCAGCAGCTTCACACAACTATCTGATCATTTTAGCGAAGGAGGCGAACCAAGAAAATCAAACACTGAGAAAGTCTGCATGCGTGTGCAACGGGGTCCCTGCCTCTGGCTCACCTTCCTCCCCTTTGCCTCCCACCTCCTGCAGGCAGCCAGAGGCTGGGCTGACCACAGTGGAAACAGTACTCTGGGCTCCTCAGGTACAGGTGGTGAGGAGGGCAAGGAGCCAACCACCCTCACCCCAGCTCCCATCCTCACATCGAGGTGGCACGGTGGTTCCCTGGCCGGGCTCAGGGGCCCTGGCTGACTTCAGACAGCATATTTGATTGCAATTAAAAAGGCAGCCTTGTTTCCTACTTTCTGTTTTGTTGGAGGGGAAGGCGTGGCCGTGAATGGACTTCATGGGAGATTTGGTTTGGCCTGGTGGTCTGAACCTGTCCCGTCCCCAATACTGCACCTATGTGTGCACCCCAGGAGAGACTTAAGAGACACTGCCTCCCCCACAGTCTTATCAGAGGTTGGGACTAAAGCCTGGCCAGTGAGCCAGAGAGGGTTGGGCTCCCCAGCCATTGACCACTCAGAGGAAGCAGGACTTGGCTAGTAGGACTCAGCAAATGTTTTCGGAATGCAGGGTGAAATTCTGTCTCTTCCAGGAAAAAAATTAAACTCTACAGGCTCTTTTAAGTGATACGATTTTAGTGAGATACAGTCCATTCGCTTAACTCAGCATAGAGGGCCAGGTGTCCTCAGGGTGCCAAGGAGGTTGCCACTGTCTGTGAGACCTGCATTTAATGGAGGTGGGGGCACCGCAGGACCAAGGCAGAGCAGCATGGTTTATTGCCTAGGCAAGGTAGGCCTTCCCCTTGCTGGGCCATTCACAGATGCTCTGAGTGGTGGTTGTAAGCAGGACAAGTATTAGGGCCTCACAGAATATGAAGCAGCCATGTTTGATAGGGCGAGGCCCCGGCCCTCACTTCCTTGGGTTCCTCAGAGATACTGAGAAGGGGCGGACTTGCCTCCGTCGTCTTTGCTTAGGAGATGAGGCTCTTCTGTCATAGCTTTTTGTTGCTTTAATACCAAAGAACCGGTTTCCTCTGCCCTAACCAGACCTCCACATGCCTCACAGTAGTTCCTACCACCCCATGCAAACTGCCTGGGCCTGAACTGCCCTGTGCTGTCCAAGCTAAGGGACAGGGTAGTCCTGGCCATGTGGGCTCAAGTGCTAATGTTCCACCCACCCTGACCTTTGAGAGGGCAAAGGGCTGAGGAATGGAGAGAAGGAACTGTGACGTGGGTACAGGCCTCAGCTGTTTTCTTGAGCACGGTCAGGAATAGGCCAGTGTGGCCCTCCTTCTCTCTTCTCACAGGCTTAGAAGTTTTTCAGCACTTTGTTTGGCTTACTGCGTGGGGCTTGTGGGAGTTCTCTTCTGCTAATGTGACCTGGCCGGGAGGGTTGAGAAGGCCCGTCTTTGGCTTCTGTCTACTACCAAGGACCCCATGTCAGATTCCAGCACATCCATGGGAGCAGTGCCTTTAGGGACAGCCTCTCAAGTGTGCTCACCTGGCAGGTACAGAGGATCTTTGGAAAACAGGAGGCCCCCTCTGGAAGTCCCTCTAGATTCCATGGTGATGGTGTGAAAAGGCAGGGCAGGGCCAGCTTGCCCTAATAACCTGTGTCTGGATGTGTGAGAGACTCACTCGCAGAAGGCTGCCTGAAGGTCTCCTGGGGAGAAACAGGATAGGAGGCTTATTCCCCATGGGCACAAGCCAGCTGGGTGGCAGGGGCTCAGAGGCATACCCCAAGGCACACAGAGGGTTGGGGCAGGGCCCAGGTGAGACCCACGCAGGGGTGTGGTGTGTCTAACGGTACCCAGGAGAACTGCTAAGGCCTCTCAGTGACATGCTCAGTGTGGCCCCTACACTATGACTGTCACGTGCAGCAGTGACAGTGTCATGTGAGCCTTCCAGCCTAGAGGAACCAGACATGGAGAAGACTAGTCTGTCTCTTGACTGTGCAAGGGACTGGCATACAAACCTTTTAGCATTGTCACTGTGGGACCTCTATGGGGGGGGGGGGGGCACACCATGTCTCCTGGCTTGTGTCCAGAATCTTGTTATCTTACTGTCCTAACCTGGCTCTTTATCTGTTGTCTCTGAGGATGGGAGAGGGGTTCAGCCTCAGCAGGTGTTGGGGAGGCTGCCAGAGGGGGTTGCATAGGCCAAGCCAGGCCTCTCCCCCCTTCCTTCCACCTGTCTCATCCCCACTTCCTGTGAGCACCACATCCCTCAGTTGGCCCAAAGTGAGACATTTACAAAACAATAAAAATAATTTTCTAAAAGAGCAGAGCAAGAAGTGTTTTTATGGTTGTTGGAAATGACTTACCTGTCAGTTTTGTGGTTTGAATTTTGAGTATTTTCTGTATGTACCTGTAGTTAAAAAAATATTCCAAACCATGTCTTGTCTGTGTTTCCTTACCAGAAGACAGCCTCAGAGGGGGGCTTCCTCTGCTCTGCTAGACTCCCTTGCTGATGAGCCTGTGCCCCATTCCAGGCCGCTAGTCCTGTGAAGCACTTGGATAGAGAAGTTGGATTGCCTCAAAAGGGAATCCACAAAGTGGTCTCTGACTTAACACACATACCATGGCATGTGTGGCCCACAAATAATAATAACAATAATAATCATAATTTTTTTTTTTTTTTTTTTGGTTTTTCGAGACAGGGTTTCTCTGTGTAGCTTTGCACCTTTCCTGGAACTCGCTTTGGAGACCAGGCTGGCCTCGAACTCACAGAGATCCGCCTGGCTCTGCCTCCCGAGTGCTGGGATTAAAGGCTTGCGCCACCACCGCCCGGCCAATAATCATAATTTTTAATGCTTGTCAAATCCAGTCTTCCAGGGCAAGGCAGTCTAAGAGCACACTTTCACACAACACAATACAGAGTGCAGCGGAGCAGCCGGATCTCATCAGGTTCCTGTTTTATGAACCCTGAGGCTAGAGGGAAAGAATTTATGGTCTCTCCATCAGCCCTGGGGGCCTGCACCATGTCTCAAGCCTCTTGATTCTATACCTTCCTCCCATTCCACCCTTCTTCCCTCACAGTGCCCCTCACACACCTCACCAGCCTGCCTTCTAGAGAGTGGACTTGATCTCAGAGGCAGATGCAGGCCTCTAGCTACTCTGACATCCTGAGACCCATGGGGACCTAGTCTAACAGCTGCCGTTCCTACGAGGTCGGTCTGTGTCTGGGTTTCCTTTTCACCCTGCGCAATTCTACAAGAAAGATCTTACCACATGCTTGCAGCCTTCAGGTAGCAAGACCCAAACCTGCCCAGTCCCAGCCTACAACAGCAGGAGGCTAACAGAATCAGCTGGATCAGGAGGCCCTTCTTAGGCCTGTGTGCCTTCCATATCCCTCTTCTCAGCAGATGTTACTACCTGTCCTCTAGCTGGGTGTTCTCCATGGTTTTGGGGGTTTGGTTGGTTGGTTGGTTTATTTTTGTTTTTTGAGACAGGGTCTCTCTCGAGAGCCCTGGTTGTCCTAGAACTCACTATGTAGACCAGGAGGACCTTGAACTGAGACATCCATCCACCTGCCTCTCCCGAATGCTGGTGTTAAAGGTGTGCTCCCACTGTTTTGATTACAATAGAAAACAAACTTGTCTGCCTACAAGTGTGGTGGACACATGCCTGTAACCCCAGCACTTGGGAAGTGAAACCAGAAAGATCAGAAACTCAAGGTCATCCTCAGCCACATGTTTAAGTGTGAGGCCAGCCTGGACTCCATAAGACCCTGACTCAAGGCCTAATGGTGGTGGTGATGGCTCATGCCTTTAATCCCAGTACTTTGGAGGCAAACGAAGGAGACCTCTGAATTCAAGGACAGCCTAGTCTACAAGGTGAGTTCCTGGACTGCTAGGGCTACTTGGAGAAACCCTGTCTCAAAAAACCAAGGGGGTGGGGGTGCGGGGAGAGACCCTGACTCAGAAAGACTCCTCTAAGTCCCACTTCTCTGGCTTTGTGGGGTCCTGCATTGTTTCCACTGAGACCCTCAGTTCACAGTCCAGTAGATGCCGAGTGTGAGCTTGCTTTACAGCCAGGGTGAGAGCTCCAAGTCACGGCAAGTGTCTGGTCTTCAAGGTACTGGGGAAGAGAGTGCCCCAAATCACAGGATTCCAAGGACAGTTCCAGGCCCTTTGCAGGTGAGGAATCTGTGTTAGTTTCAGTTCTCCAGCCAAGACTGTAACTCACTTGCCTTTCGGTACAAAGCTGTGCAGTTTCCAAGTGTCTTTACTGCATCTTCTGGGAATACCGATACCCACATAAAAGAAACTTTGTTCTGTTTAGTTCCGAAAGCACACTCTCCTTCTTACATCCAGAGACCTTCTGTGTCCTTTACAAGCGGCTGTTCCCCAGGGCATCTGACAGCTCCAGTAAGTCCTCGTGCCCAACTATTTATTTATTTGTATTGCCTTGCTTTTTTTGTTTTTTTGATTGTTTGTTTGTTTTTGTTTTTGTTTTCGAACACAGGGTTTCTCTGTGCAGCCCTAGCTACCTGGAACTCACTCTGTAGACCTGGCCTGGAACTTAAGAGATCTGCCTGCCTCTGCCTCCTGGGTCCTGGGATTAAAGGTGTGCGCCACCACTAGTTGGATTTTGTTTTTACTCTGTGCATCAATGTTTTGCTTGCATGTATGTCTGTGTCAGGGTGTCCAATCCCCTGGAACTGGAGTAACAAATACAGACAGCTGGGGCTGGAGAGATGGCTCAGTGGTTAAGAGCACTGGCTGTTCTTCCAGAGGTCCTGAGTTCAATTCCCAGCAACCACATGGTGGCTCCCAACCATCTGTAATGAGATCTGGTGCCCTCTTCTGGCATGCAGGCAGAACACTGTATACATAATAAATAAATCTTTAAAAAAAAAAAAAAAGGAAAAAAATACAGACAGTTGTGAGCTGCCATGTGGGTGCTGGGAATTAAACCCGGGTCCTCTGGAAGCAGCCAGTGTTCTTAACTGCTGAGCCATCACTCCAGCCCCCCGACTTTTCTATTTTATTTTTAATTATTTTTTTTTTATTCTATGTGCATTGGTGTTTTACTTGCATGTATGTCTGTATAAGGGTGTCTAATCCCCTGGAATTGGAGTTACAGTTTTGAACTGCCATGTGAGTGCTGGAAATTGAACCTGGGTCTTCTGGAAGAGCAGCCAGTGCTGAGCCATCTTCTCCAGCCCCCTGTACCACCTGTTCTAGGTGATGCCTTCTTTTGGCCTCAATGGGCACTAGGTACACATGGTGCACAGACATACATACATACAGGCAAAATATCCATACAGATAAAACAATAATTAAAAAATTTAG